CTCCTAAGAAATAGTAAGTGTAATTTTTGCATTTGTTAGCAATTCTCAAGTGGATTCTATACACATTCCGAGCAATCCTAACAGCATTCCTTTGAGGTAGGCCAGTATTATTACCTGTATCTTTTCGATGGGGAAACTGAAGCTTAGCAGAATATTTTAACTGCCATGGAACAGGTTGGACTATTTGTCCATTTCCACCAGGTGAAGGCAACCTTTTCAGGTCAGGGCAATGTCTGGTAATTTTTCTAAAAACTGGGCATCACCACAAAATGGCTGCCATGGGAGGCATACAAAAGGAAACACTAGCTGCTCACAATCCTGAGTATGAGGTACTGAGCCCCAACCCACTAAGGCTAACTCCTTTGGTCCCACTGTTTTCAGCACCAATAGAAACTTCCTTCCCTGAAATCCCAGCAGTTGGTAAAACAGAGAGAGAGAGAGAGAGAGAGAGAGATTTAAGGGAGGGGTACCAGGGGTGCCATGCCATGTTGCCTGCTTTGAGTCTACAGGGACCGGCAATAGCTCTACAGAGTCCCAAGCAGAGAATAATCTTTTCTATCACCTGCTAACAAATGACAGATATGGACATAATAAGCACTGAAGCATTGAAGGCAAAGCATTGAAGCATTGATATGATAAGCATTGAAGGCAAAAACTTCCACATGAAATTCATGTGCTCGGCCATGGAGCAGTGGTCCCTCCACAATGGCTTGCCCAAGGCTACTACCTCACTTCTTGGGAAAGGCAACATTTGACCAGGAACATTGTGGTTCATCGACTAGGACATTTCCCATTAGCATGTTTAGACAGAAAAATGTGCTACATCTCCCAGGACTCCCCAGCCAGCCAGGACTGCACCTTAAGATGCTCAGCAAGCACCATTTTGAGCTGTGGCTGGTGCTCTGTTTCTACTTTTTGGTCACATAGTACACCCTTTGGCCAACAGCCATCCTCATAAGACTGAGAGGGGCAACACATGGCCCCTACTGCCCATTGATAAAATTCACACTGCCTCCCCACAAGAAAAAGAAGAAGCGGAAGAGGAAGCATGCTGCCACTGAACATCAGCAGCAGATCACTTGTCCTTGTTTGTTTTCTTGCTTGCCAACAATGAACTTGGTGGCACAGTGATGTAAGGAATGTAGCCTGCAATGAAAATGGCCCCCGGACCCCTGCAGTTGCCTGTCTCTGCCATAAAAAGGATGCATCCAGAATTCTAGGATGACACTTACTTGTGATAAGCCCTTGTATATTGTGATCTTTATGCCTCACTACTACCCAGCCAACATCTGAATTCGCCATACCTGCTTGATCAAATGAACGTAACCCTAAACCCAAATGAACATGTGAGAAATTTGTTTCCTCAAGGACTTTTTCAAAGCAAATTTGGACTTGGGAATCCATATATTTCTGAACTTCTAGTATATTTTTGCACCATTTCATTGAACAAATTTGATAACATGCATACACTTGCAAATTGAACAAAGCTAGATACTTTGCTCAGGATGTGCATGTGTCCAAATGCTTACATTTAAATGTGCATACAAATACGTATACAATCATGCACAATTTTTATAATGTGTTGAAAGTTCATGGAGAATGGGCTAGAGTGAGCTGGACCTCAACAACAAGAAAAAAGTCTCTGTAAAACTGAGAATGACATCTATTCGGTCATCCTGTCCATTGGTACATGTTGCACCAATAGTCTCTCCTTATCCAGGTGGCTAATATTTACAAACAGGTCAAATAGCACTGGTCCCAGTTCTGTCTGCAGGGTATCCCATCCTGTATGTCCTTTCATTTATCCACTTTATCCACAGTTCAGCTCTCCTGATTACCAGATCTGGACAGCCGGTGGACAAAGCAGTGCAGTCCAAGCTCTGGAAGCCCAAACATCTTCCAAGGCGGGTGGTCACCTCCCCCATTTTCCTGCCTGTGGCTGCAGAGACAAGAGAGCCTGCCTGTCGCCAGAAATCCGGCCTGTGTGGGCAGCCAGCCAAGCTGGGGCCTGCCCTTTTTGTTCCTGGCTATGTTTGGCTTCTCCTGTTCCCAAAGTGCCATCGCCCTTCCTCAGACCAAAAAGAACAGCCAGGAGTTCCCCTGGGGAGCCTCCTTCCTCCAGAATTTCCTGCACAGAGGATTGGACTGGTGATCATGCAGACCTCAAGGGCTGGACTATTCCGCAGAACAAATACCTGGAAATTGGGGACTTAGGAGCTCTCTGCCTGTATGTGTTCAAAGTATGTTGCAGGCTCATGACAGGCTTGTTTTAAATAGCAAGCCTCACACTCTGGACTGTTCACAACCTGAGAAATAACAAAGGAGAGAGTGCCTTTCTCTGAGCTTGTACAAAGTATATCTACCCATCTCTTCAGCTAGGCCTCTCTGACCAAGCACTCCCCAGGGGTGTTGGACTACAACCCCCATCAACTCAGTCATGCTAGTAAGGGTGATGGGCTCTGTAGTCCAAACACACCTGGCAGACACCATGTTGAGGAACACAGCCCTTCTGTGAATTAGAAAGACAGGCTCTTGCTTTCAGAAAGCACAACTTCCAGGCAAGCATGGATGCCCACTCACCCCAATTACAAGCAAACTGCTGGCTGTATTTATTTTCCTCCTCATTACCCCAATATCCCACTCTTCCTCCAAGAAGCACAAAGCACCAGCTTTGTCTCATGACTGTGCTGCAAGGTAGGCTAGGGCCAAGGGAGGGGGCCTTGATGAAGGCTACACAGGGCACTTCCCTCCCCTGACCCCTTCCAAGGGGGAGAGGCCATCAGTCCTGTCCTGAAGGAACCTCTGGGTGGACTCTGTTTAGCAACAGGTGAAAATCCTCTGCAGCCCATGTTGAGAGGGCCAGACAAGGGCTTGGTGAGCACTGAGTGGGGTAATAAAGGCAGGGGATCAGCAATGCTTTAACCTGAAGCACTGAGCCACCTTAAACTGCTGAGAAGCCCTGTGTGTGTTGTATAGTGAAGGGAAAGGTCCCCGTAATATTTGGAACACAAATGCATAAAATAGTAACCCAGGGGCTCTTGGGTGAGGGAAAGCCACTTCCCATGGACATGATCAGGACTAAGGAAGGGGCTACCTACCCATTTCCCAACCACTGTTTCCCACTTCAAGGGCCCAGGACATTTTTAAAATATGCAGGAAGGAGTAGTGGTGAGGAATTAACTGACAGCTATGCTAGAGAAAGGTGTCTGTTTGCCCCACCCAAATAGTTTACCATTTGATGACTCTAGCATCAACCCAGAGATCTTTGCTCACAGGTATTCATCATGTGAGGAATCTTCCTGCTGAAGTGATGGCTGGTGCTGTCAAAACTGACAGCACCAATCACCTGTGGGAGGGGAGAAGAAGATAAGCAATCTCCATTCACCAAATGATGGCAGGTGGTGCATGCAGGCCTAGAAGCATACAAACACCTGAGCACAGTCACTCTTATTAGATCAAAGCAGCTGACTGTGATTTTTTTACAGGCATCACCACCACGCCCTGAGGACTAGAAACATTTTTTCTTTAAAGGGAATAAAATCCCAGGTGCTTTTGTTTTATTTTTGGTTTGGGTTTGTTGCTGTCCCTTTGAAATCTAAGTTCTGTGGCAGATGCCAGATATGGTATGAGCAGGCTTGTGAAAATGAGCAGTTTTATCTATAATTCGATGTTGTGTAAAGAAGGAATAAGCAATCTTGTTCTGCTTCGTTACACCCAAAATGTAATGAAGTCCTTGTAGGCTGGCATAAAAAGCTTCTGTGGGAGAATTGTTCAATGCGGATCAAATGCGGATGCATAGGTCTTTAAAAAAGATCCAGGCAGAAAGCAGAGGGAGGGATGGCCAGGAACACATTGAAGCCCAAAGAACACATTGCTCCTCTTCCATCGAAGGACATGTTTATTCCTGTTCCATCCATGTTTCCCACTGTGACTTCACACAGCTTCTTACACATTTGCAGGGCTACTTTGAGGATACTGTCTATGCATGTATAACATGTTAAAGCATATGCTTGTGCAATGGGGGGATGATAATTAACACTGACCAGACCTACATAGTTGTTGCAAGAATTACTGAGTTGATATACCAAAGGTCATACATACTCAAAAAACTGTATATAAATGCTAAATAATAAACTAGCTTCTGCATTGGGAATTTGGCCCAAAAACCAGTGTGGCAACTCAACAGAACAGAAATGCAGAACTTTGGGTGCTATTGTACTACAATACCAGAATCCCTCACCATTGGTCATGCTGTTGTTGGAGTCCAATGACAATGGAGAGTTACTTGTTTCTTCCTCTGGAGCAGAAAATAAACCTAGATCAGAAAGGCCTGAATTCAAGGCCTGAATCAAGTCCTTGCCCAACCATGACACTTATTCTCTTTCTCTTTTTCATGTTCTCTCTGGCATGGTAAGGATGAACTGGGATAAACCTGAGCTGTTGAGGGAAGGCAGGATACAAATGCAGCCAATAAACTAGGAATATGTGTGTAGCAACTTTAACCATTTGCCTAACACTTTCACTAGGAGCAAAGGAAAGCATACACTAACTGAGCAGACCCAGCACCAACAAAATTCCTGCTGAGATCAGCAACAAAAAGTTCAACAGCAGACATTCATCAGAAGTTATTGGAGGCTCTCAGAGGACAGAATGGAGAGTGTTTGTTAGCTCTTGGCTAAAATGATACACACATACAAATTCCAGCCATGGAAAATGACTCCATGCCCCTTCTGGAGTCAAGAACATGGTGCTCCCCAGCCCTATTTGTACCAGTGGTTTGTTGGCATATTGAGTCAGAGCTGCCTGGCTCGCAGAACCAGCTCCAGGCAAAATAACCAACATGCTACTCATATGAGCTAAGATCAACATGCTCACCTGAGGACCCAAGCCTTCCTGCCATTCAGAGCTGCCCATCTGCCTGCCCGCCCGCCCAGCCACAAGAGCCACCCATCCCAAAGCATGCGCCAGCTCCCTGAAAACTGCAGGGCATCATTACTCACCCATCGGATGCCCTGGATCCTTGGGGCACTGCCCACCTGCCCCTCCAGCTGGATTTGGTAGCTGCAGCTGCGGAACAAGTGCATCTTTTCCCCAATCACGTAGAGCAGATTTCTGTCCAAGATGAGGTCTGTGAGCCCCCTGGAAAGCTGGGGCACATCTGAGATATCACCACGTGAAAGCCCGACATGCCACCTTCCCTGCCCACTCCGGGCCACCTTTGGAAACAAAAGAAACAGCTATTAGGGGTGGAAGCAGGGAGAGAAAAGAATTCCCTTCTCTCATTCTGTTGGTGTGATGGCACAGCTGTCCACAGGAATTTCTGGAAGAACAGCGTTGTCATAATGCTTGCACACATTTTGCAGCACTCTTTTGTTCAAAGTCCTTCACCAACTTTATTTCAGCTCTCCTTACAACGAACCTGCAAGGTAAAATAAGTAACACCATGTGGCATAAAGTGAAGCAATATCAGACGTGAGATCTGATTGCAGGATCTCCCACTCTCAAGCACCAAAGGAATCTCAGGATTCCCGACCTGCCCCCCACACACAACCCATGTCTATATCGCATGTATACAAATATATGCCCATTCAAAAGGTCTCTTGCTGACCCACCAGCCGGTGTTCTCATGCCACAAACTTTCGCAGCCTTCTGCCAGTGCATTCAGCCCAGTTTCCCACCATCCAGGTATGCGCCTGGCTAAGGACTGGGGGAAGCAGGAGGCAGACCTCTCCAGAGGCCACCCAGCTCTGATCGCGACCCACCTTCATGTCCCGTGCTGGGTCCACATTGAGAAGCCTGCACAGGGAGGGGCATGCAGTCTTGGGAGGGCAAAAGAGACGCTGTTAGGAGGAGAAGAGGCTAGCTGAATCATCGAGTCGCGGGCTCGCCAAGGCACGCAACTCGGATCCCATTTGGAGGGAAGTTAAGCCCCGGCGCGTCTTCCAAGCAACCCGTTTGAGGGCAGACAGGCACGCCCGATCGCACGCTGGCACCGAGCGGGAGCCACCAGGATCTTGCTCTTGGCTTCCTGGTCTGACACACAGTCCCGAGGAAAGATACACGCCCGCATGGAACGGCGAGAGGGACGGGACGCGCACTTTGCTTCTCTTCCACCTTCCCTCCTCTGGAAATCCCGGCGCAGCAGCAGGAAAGACATCGCCGAGGCTGCGACCAGGGGAGTGCTTGGCCCCATGCCCAGAGGCTCTGCAAGCTGGAAAGGCTCTCATCAGAGGCTGGGAGCACCACACCCGCTCCGGAGTCGGTTAACTGACACGGCAAGCACGCAGGCAGCAAGCGAGCTTTCTGGCTCCTCCGCGGGCAGGAAGCGGCGGCGGCGCAGCCACTTCCAAAAACCCACCAGATCTACGTGCAACCTTACCTCCGGGGAGGTCTCACACATTTTGAAGTTTTGCATTTCACGCGCTGCAGCCAGCTAGAAGAAGGGGCTTTGGATATTAAGGCGTGTGTGTGCCTGGCTGGCAGAGGGGGGTGGAGGTGAGGGGCTCTCTTTTGTTTTCATTCCTGTTTTAACACCATTATTGCAACTGATAATTTGTGTCTCCTCCCTCTGAACAGCTCCAGGCAGCTTCTGTGTGGGGATGATGGATTTCCCTCGCAACCCAAAGAAGTAGAATAGGCTGACAATGGCCCTGTTCCAGGCCAGTTATGTCACTGGTGCAGACCTGTTTCCGTGTAGGATGAGGTGCCAGCCCGCTCTGGGGTACGCCAAAGCTTTCTTTTCAGTGGATATAATGGAGGGTGTTTCCAGATGGAAGCCTCCTAGTGCTACCAAGAAGAATGCATTGGGCAGCAGATCTGTCTTCTTCTTAACAGATTTTCCATAGGAAGAGAGAAGACAGAAGACAGAAGGAGTAGTGGGAACACTTGGGATGGTTACAAGTGCAGCAACGTGTCATCTATCTGTGCGTGCACACATGCACACAAACATGCACAGACCCTATTGATGTCTGTGGCAAAGGCATAAACTCTTTCTGGGAGTACCCCAAATCTGGCCTAATTTACAACAACAGGCATTCCCTTCCTTCCATCTCATGCTCTGCACTCAGTTAATGATAATTAAGCAAGAGGTGGAAGGGGCCAATTATTAAAGCTAAAGGAGCACATGGAGGGAATACTAACACACACACCAGTCACCTGCAGCTGGTTTTCTCCTTAGCTGAGTGTCAAAAGTAGAAGCACACTTGGCTGCAGGGCCCAAACGTGGCCAGGGGATGACAGTCTAATAGGCTGAAACCCCATTATTGTGAGAGAATGATTTGAGGCTAACCTATGGTTTTCATGAGTGGATACTTGCAAAAATCTATTTCTCTGCATCTATTTGAGTGGCCCTGTTTTCCAATTAGAGGCTACTCTTTGGTCTAAAGCAGGGGTCCTCAAACTTTTTCAACAGGGGGCCAGTTGAAAGGTGCCAGCAGTGGGCGTGGGCCGCCAAGGCAGTGCTGGTGGGGGGCGTGCATGGCAAGGTGGGGGTGGGGGTGGGGGCGGCAGCGGCTTGCTCGCACAGAGATGTTTTCTCCGAGTGAATTCAAAATGATCTCCCTGTGAGCAAGCCACCACTAGGTGCACGCATGGCGAGGCACCGGCTTGCTCACACAGAGATCGTTTTCTCTGAGAGAGTCCAAAACCTCTGAGGCAGGCCAGATAAATGGGCATGGTGGGCCGGATCTGGCCCACGGGCCGTAGTTTGAGGACCCATGGTCTAAAGTTTCAGTGAGGGAACTAGGGCAGCAGGGCTGGCACCAAGAGTAGGCATTGTTGGGCACCTGCCAGGACCTCCACCCCAGCAGAGATGCCGCTGCCTGCTTACTCATTGGCAGTGCCAGTTCCAGGGTTTTGAGGGCTCTTGGCAAGACACCTTCAGCAGGTCCCATCCCTCACTGATTGTACCTTCTCACCACCCTTGTCAGCACCTGCTATGTTTCCTCCTCTTTTTTTCACTGCCACTGACTGCTTGCTTGAGAGGCAGAGAACCAGGGAGCAGGTAGGTGGCAGCACCTTCTGTACCTCCTCCTCCTCAAGGTCATTGGACCAGTGTGAGAGGCAGGTGAGTAAGCAGGTTCCAGTGGTGGAAAGGAGGAATGACTCCTGGTGGCTGTCAGACCTAGAAAGAGATCTGTGTCTGCTTTTGTGGCCTGCTTTCTCAAGCATTCCTCATTCCTATGGGTATGGGAACAAAATTGATGCATTCAAAACATGGTGCTGGAGGAGAGCTTTGTGAATACCCTGGACCAACAGAAAGACAAACAAGTGTGTCTTAGATCAAAACAAGGCAGAGCTTTCCCTGAAGCAAAAATGACAAAATTGAGGCTGTTGTACTTTGAACACATTGCAAGAAGGCAAAACTCCCTGGAGAAGACAATCACACTAGGGAAAAACCAAGGCAGAAGAATAAAGGAAGACCAAGGAAGAGGTGGATTGACTTCATAAGGGAAGCCACAGCCTTGAGTTTAGAACACGGATGTCATTAATAGGATATTTTGGAAGGTCACATAAGCTAGAGGTGACTTGATGGCACATAACATTTCCTGAGCAGATAAAGTGGGCACTAATGGGGTGTGGCACTGGGAGGGCAGTGAAAACAGCAGAAGGACCAAGGCACTGAGATCTCAGGTAGGTCAAAAGCCAGTACTGCTGATGGGATTTGCAGACTCTGGGCATTAGAGGATACACAGGTTTAGGCCTGTGGTCCTATAGAACATAGAAGAACCGGTCCTGGGTCCCAGCAGCAGGGACTGTTATCTCAAGGGTATTTCCTCCTTGCATTTGGTGTCATGGTGCCAGCATTGGTTAGGAATACAGCAATGGCATCCAGAAATGTCAGGTGCTTAAAACAGGGTGGGAGGCAGTATTAACAAGCTTAGAGGCATCTGGTCAAACCTTCAGTTTTCTAAAGCCAGAAGACATTTTGGTAGGGGAGGGGGCTGTTGCACGTTTGTAGTAAACCTCAGAATGAGTATTTAGATGGTTGGGGTGGGAGAAAGTACGTCAAGCTAAACCATGCAGGCAGAGCAAGCTTGCCTCCTGCTTTCTTGTGCATCCTTTGATGCTATCTGCCCTCCACCACCCCCTGCCTGCTGCCCCAGGACCTACTTAACCTTTGGCTGGTGCAGACCTGAGTTCAGATGGGTCAACTGCCATCCCACAACTTCAGTCTCAGGTGTCACTGCTGTGCAAGGACCCGAACAGGAACTGAATAAGGAATTGTGCAAAATGTGCACTAGAACCCATAGGGTGAATGAAATACTAATGTGTGGCAAAGGCATTACAATAATTTTTCATAGATTAAGAGAGCCAGCTTGTTTTGGGACCTAATGGGGATTTAGAGGCCTTTTTTCTAAGGACAGGTGCTATATTAGCATATCAGAACTAGAAAAATACGATCACCCAACACCCGTGAGTGCTGCTGTGAATGAGTCACTTCCTGTTCTCTTCTCCTGTGCAGGCACTTTGCCAAGGAGCATCACACAGAATTGTGGTGCCTCTTCAATTGGAATGCCACCCCCCACTATGGGCACCCCGTGCCCCCACCCTACACTCATGTGAGCATCTGCCAGCGAAGGATGACACTTGCTGCATCCAAGGAAGTGGCTCTAGCAGTGGATTCGGATGGAGCTTCCCCATTTGGTACTGATCAGCTGGCACTGGGAGGCATTTTGGTGCAGCGGTTAGCATGCTGGATGATGAATTAGGAGATCCTGGTTCAAGTCCCCACTTGGCCATAAAGCTCACTGGGTACCTTTGGGCCACTCACTCACTCTTAGCTGAACTGACCACACAGAGTTGTTGTAAAATGGAGGAGGAGCAGGATCATGGAAACCACTTGGTTTCCTTGCAAGAAGAAAACAGACATATTTTTTTCAATGCTTAATAACCATTTAATCACATTTGTTTTGTGAGTCCCAGGAAGTGAAAGTGTTCTCTTTTCCTCTTGCAAGGTATGTATTTTCTAGTCTGCTCTAGTGATTATAAGTTCTGGATCATGATAATACTACATCTGTATGATAGACTATAATTATTTCTGAAAGACACCTCTATTTCTGGCAAACTCAGGCCAGAACTAGCCATTATGGAGAATGTGCAGGTTCTGTTGTCACTCTGCTTGGTTGGCAGCTGCATGGAGAACTGGTCACATCACACAGTGTTTAATATTAAAGCAGAGATGGGGAATCTCCAACCCTCAGAGGTTCTCAATCCTGTCCATGGAAGCCAGTCCTTGTTGCCTCCATTCACAGATCAGAATTAACCACTAGAGATGCAGGCAATGGAGGATGCAACCACTGCTGAGAGAACCTCTCTTCCTAGCATGGCTAATTGCATGCTTTCCCAGGGACTTACCTGCATGGTACCTTCCTCACTGGGGTGCAGGTCATGCATGTGATGCTTGCCTCCAGCTCCTCACTTGTCCAGGGTGGTTTTGCCCACAGAGTGTCTCCCATCCCTGGGTGAAGCACCATGTGCAGTGAAACCAGATCCTGCCTCATCCAGCCCTAGCCCCTGTCATCTGGCCCATGTGGGGCTACTTGGGTGATTCATCTGATCCTCCACCCTAATTTATTTCTTTGGGAAAAGGGAGTCATGGGATCAGTACTGTCAGCAGCAGCCACATTTTCTCTGTAAATCACATCTATGCCTGAAATCAAGATAACTGTTTGATCCTAGTGTTTTTACCTAATTTTGGTTAGAACAAACCACAGTTCCCTATTTTTGTATGTCACGCATAACTGTAACTTGTTCCCAACTGAAATCTTCCAACTTCACTCTCCTCCTTTTATTGCACAGGGAAATGGCCATCACTCATTTAAAATAATCCAAACTATGGTGATGGCCTGAATTGGCTGCAAATGTATTCTCATGTTATTTCAAGCAGGTTCATCTTTGCTAGGCTCAAGATTGCTTTCAGATATAGAAATTATCAAAGGAACAAATACATCCAGTTTATGTGAAATCAGAGCACTGGGTCCATCTAGCTCAGAACTATCTGCCCAAGTGTACAGTTTCTTTCTCAGTCTTATCTCAGAGGTACCAGGAATTGAGCCTTTTTGCTTCTGCATGTGAAACGTGGACATTGCTGGCCTTTTTGCATTTCCCACATCCAGCAGCAAGAACTTACAGTATTCTTTTTTTAAAAAAGTATGTTTTATTTGAAATTATAATCCTAAAAAAACAAAAACTACAAACAACATCCATCATCAAAAACATTGAGCCCGCTGGGTCAGCCCCCACACCCTTCTTTTTCCA